TGCGGAACTGGAGGAGCGGGTCTGGCGAGTCCTCGATTCCGGGGACCATGCTACCAGGCGAGAAGGCGGCTTGTTCAACGTCGCGGTGGTAGTTCTCCGGGTTCTTGTTCAAGACAAGTCGGCCGAATTCTTGCATGGGAAATTGCTTGCGGGGCCAGACCTTGGTGACGTCGAAGGGGTCGAAGCCGAGCTTCTCGGGGTCGGCGTCTTCAGGCTGCATTACTTGGACGTGGGCTGTCCAGGTGATTTCCTCGCCCTCCTCAATGGCTTCCCAGAGGTCTCGCTTGGAGTAGTCGGGGTCCTCGCCACACATCTGGGTGGCTTCCTGCTGGGTGAATTGCTTCTGGCCGTGGTTGGCGATGAAGTGGTACTTGATGTAGACAAACTTGCCTTGCTTGTTGACCCACTTGAAGGTGTGACAGCCATAGCCGTGGTTGAAGCGCCAACCTACAGGAGTTCCGTGGTCGCTGAAGAACATGAGACCCGCATGATTGCCTTCGGGTGTGCAACCGAGGAGGTCGAAAATACCGTCATAATCGAACAGGAAGTTTTTGGGATTCCGATATTGGGATCGGATCACATCTGGCCCTTGAATGGGATCGCGACAGAAGAAGACTGGGAAGTTCAGGCCAACAATGTCATAGTTGCCCTCCAAGGTGTAGAACTTGATGGCGAAGCCGCGAGGGTTACGTGCCTCATCGGGAAACTCACGCCCTGGTGTGACGGTGGAGAATCGAACAAAGACTGGTGTCTTTTCTCCCACGCTCTGCAGGAAGTTCGCCTTGGTGAGGTCGCTCACATTCTTGGTGGTCTCAAAGTAGCCAAAAGCGCCTGATCCGCTGGGATGCACCATGCGTTCGAGGTTTTTGGAACGATTGAAGGTTTGCTGCTTCTGGAAGAGGAACACATCGCTGGCCACAGGAATGCCTCCAATTGTCTTGCTATGTTCTCTATTGCGTGGTCAGCATCATGCGTGGACATCGACATTGCCCATACGTACGCGTCTGGCCAAGGAATGCCCTCGTTGTTCGTGAAGTACGGCGCGTCATCCTCACGTTTGCCTCCTTGCACTGCACCCGACACCTTTGCAATGATGTCTGCGGGACCCTCGTTGGTGCTCGCCAAATGGCTGATGCGCGGTGCACGTCCCTCGCCTTGAACAGCTCCCTGGATGGCCATGGCGGTGGCCTGCAGCGGGTGCTGCGCTGGGTCGTTCTGGTTCGCGTTCGCGCCAGTGGTGGAAGGGGCCATGACTACGGGTAGTTTGGATGTGAGATTGGAGGGTATGTCCATTGTACGCAGATGGCGCGAGGCGCTTTTTGGAGCGTCCGCGGGAGGCGCCTTGTATACATTCTGCGGTCATTCTGATGCGCTGGTGACAGCGTCATGGCATTTCCCAGACAACAACACCCTGCTACATCCCGCGATGCAGGTGATGGTGCGGTCCGCGGGCACGACAACGCCAAAACACATGATGTTGCGATGACGTATCGACCAATCAAACCCGAGAGATTTCTCAGCCTAAGCCTAAAGTGCAGCGGGCCAAGCATCCAATGCAACAGCTGGGGACCATTTTAGGAGATAAAGCTGTCCGAATGTCGATGCATGTCAAAGCTGCGTGTTATTGACGTCTGGTTCATTTCATACATTGTGGGCAGCAACGCAAGGCAATCCCACCAATCGCTACCGTGTCGTTGCTCGGCATACTGTGCGTACCAGACTCGTGAATATGTCGTCCTCAATGCCTGTACCCTCATTGGATCTGTGAACGTGCCTTGACCTGCCCCACCTGGACGATGAATTCGCATCGTGAAACCGTGCGCACGTGATGCAATGCTCCTTCCCAACGAGTACGCCGTCAATGCTCGGGGACGTCATGGGTGCGTACTGTGGAACTTAGAGCCCGGAGAGACATATATGAAAACGTCCCTGGCAAGACTGACTGGCAACTTCTACCTCCCTAGGATCTCCTCCCACTGCCTTCACACACCAGTAACCCTCGCCGCCAACATGTCGTTCACACGATCAACTTCCGCATCCATCTTCAGGACTTGCCTTCGCACACAAGCACCATGCAACATACGGACATTCCGCTCAACTGCGCCTGCAATGAAGACTATGAGGACTATCTCCGAGACCATCAAGGAAGACCATCGCGAGCTCGAGAGATACTACAATGAGATCGTCAACTCTGCCGATCACGATCATCAACAGCGATTCGGCAACCAGTTCACTTGGGAGCTTGCTCGTCACTCAATCGCCGAAGAGCTTATCATCTACCCGGCGTTCGAGAACTATCTTGGCCCAGAAGGCCACGACAAAGCCGAGAGCGACCGCAAGCAGCACCATGAGGTACGGCCAACTCATCTGTCACTATACATTCAGTACTAAAAATGTGCAATAGGTCAAGGTCCATCTCAAGGAGTTCCAAAACATGTCGTCAACGGACCCCGACTACGTTCCCAAACTCAAAGAGTTATGGGGTCCGCTGAGCCAGCACATCAAAGAGGAGGAGCGGGACGATTTACCCGCACTCGAAAAGAAGCTGGAAGCTAGCCACCAGGACACGGGCGTGTCCGAGCGGCTAGCGAAGAACTTTGATCGTACCAAGAAGTTTGTGCCGTCGAGAAGCCATCCCAGCCTGGGCGAGAACCCGGCCTTCGAGAGCGTTATGGGTATGCTAGCTACGCCCATCGACCGCATCGCGGATATGTTCAGGAAGTTCCCCGTCGATCCGAACCCGGATAAAGAAGGAGATTCTTGGCGGGATTCAGATCGGAGTACAGGAGATGCTGGGCGAGGACCACGGACACTCGCCCATGACTCCAATGGACCAAGGGACAAGGACTCGACAATCGGAAGCCCTTACGAGCGAGACTCTACTCTCTCTCCGAGGACGAAGGGAAGAGTTGACCCGAGAGCGTGAATAGTATGGAAGAATTCCGGTGCGTGGGCGCGCGTGCTTGGACGATATTCAAAGTCTGAGAGGACAATGGCATCATCAAATGTACTATAACATGACTAGGCGTTTAAAAGGATCCGGAAGATTTACACTACCTCAAAGCCTCTGCGCATAGCATCGCTAAGCCCGTGTTTGACTAGCCTACCTGTGACACGATGCTTCATCAGGCCTTTCAAGCCATAATTCGCTGCGCAACCTAGGTACGCCGTAGGCTGTATTCTTGTTGGTCAATGACCCTTAACTTGTCATATGTACATGCTCCCAATTTTTATTGCATGATGTTTGGTGTACAATGTTTGTTACAAGCCTTGTCGGTTGTGAGACGGCCGCTCGAGCTACATACCCGTCAAGCGTGAGACTACCCAGTCGCATAGTCACAAAGCGTCAAAGTAGCGGGTCATCAGAGTAGAGGCGCAGCAACGCTGGGACAGCCGGTAACAGTGGAATGACATGGCTACAGGCATTGAGAAGCACAGGGGTAGCGAGTCTAGATAGGCAGAGAAGGAAGGCATGAGCAAGCGCAGGGACTTATGTATGCACTTGTATGTATGCATGACTACCATTCAGGCGAGACATGGGCACTGGAAAAGGAAGCTACCGAGCTTGTTAGAACGAGTGTTTGAGCCAGATCGAACCAGGTACCAGACCGAATTTCCAAGCATCTAGCGAAGTCATGTCTTATTCAAAGCGGGGCATATCGTTCCATGATTGACCTGACCGTCAGACGGCGCCACATAGAGTGCAACATGACCAAACACAAGGGTGAATTCTTCTCACCGCTGTCAGATTTGACGACGAAGTTCAGACGTAACCATGAGGGTATGGGATTCACCACCTTTGTCAAACTCGACGACGATGTTAGAGATTTTCACCTCCCCAGCTCCTCACCGCTATCGAATTTAACGACGAGGTCACAGGCCTCTTGAAAGTTCATCGGAATCACATCTCGCCGCGGTCCGGCTCATACGCATGTTGTTCCATGATTGACCTGACCGCTAGATGGCGCCACATAGAGTGCAACACATTCGAATTCGGTTGGTGCCGCGGGTCAGCTTGAAGGAGGTTGTTCGGTAGATGGTGATAGAGGGATGCGGTGAATTCGTGCTCACGAGTGGCAATGATGATTGCGTACTAGTCTTGATGCATTGTCGGCTTTGAGAACGCAAGACATTGAGAGGATTATATTGGAGGCTGAGATCGATCCGAGTCCTTGCGGCGGAATGCCTGACAGCATTGTGGACTGGTCCAAGTCATGTGACTGGGAGTGTTGATGGTGGGCGACTGCAGGTATGAGTGAAAACATATTGAAAGAAGAACCAGTCTTACATGATCTCGACTAGGCATCTATGAAAGAATCGCTCCATTGAAATGTGGTGGATGTTGATGTGATTGACGCCAAGGCGTAGGTGAGTCTTGATGCTGAGGAGTGAATGAAGTTTGACTAAGCGCCGATGATTGACTTCATACGTGGCAGGTATGATGCGGAAAAGAGAGCATCATACAAGTCTGGTATGTCTCAAAAGGAGCCTTTGTTTGAGATGGTTGTTGCTGCTGTTTTTAGGGGTGGCATGGAATAGGCGTGGAGCAAGGTGGGGTTCATATAGGAGGACCGTGTGGGAGAACCGTGTGGGAGAACCGTGTGGGAGAACCGTGCGTAGCCAAGCTGTCGCGGTCCGACTTCGGGTACAGTAATAAGCGAGCCCAGAGGGTGACAGTAGGACTGACCTGGGGGTCTACAGTGGTAGGACTCGACGCTCATGGTAGTATCTCCGAAACAGCCTTCATGCAGATGCGATTACCCAGCAATCAGCGACTCAAAGCCGGGCTCAGACTGCAGCCATTTGCCACGGTGTCCATGACCTTCCATAGTAAAGGCATCACTGACATAGGGCGCCTTCAGATCGTCCGGGACGATGTTTCTCGCTAGAGTCCTACATGTTTCAGCGTATAAATGCTATACGCGTGGGATTAGAAAAGATCCAATACGCACGACTACGTGGATCCCAGATGAAAGATAATTGCATATGACCATAAGTAGTAAGAAACAAATTTTTCGAAAACTTAATCTGCCGCGTGTAAAACGGATGCTCTACCAATTGAGCTAATTTCTTTTTTTATAGCTATAAGGCCATAAAGGTGACCCGTTGCAATGTTTCAATTGCATGTCAGGTTCGTCCGCACGCACCTGTACTCCTAGCAGTCTTTGAATCGATTCGTCTCTGAGTAGTCCACGCCTATGATACCGATTAATGGCCGCATTCGCACCTATGACCGCAGCTACAATGCCTCCACAGGCGGCCGAGGGGATCTCTGCCCATGTCCAGTTGACCGAGAAGAAGAAGATGCGACGGATTAACTCGGACGTCGGGGATGCCTGATCAGGTATACGCGGTCTTGTGATATGCAGTGGATGAGTTCCCGCAGCTGTTCCTCTCACGAATGTGTGGAAGGCCGTGATCGAATCGGGAGTGGCGCGCGGTTATCGTGTCCGTGCACGCAACGCCCGGATTCACGCAACGCCCCGCTCAACACTAGAACGCGAGATCCTCACTCACTTTTACACGCGATAACTCTACTAATATAGACCTAATTCAGGCTGCAATTGAAGAATTAGAATTGTATAAACTAGGAGAACGACCTTTATATATAAAGCTTGCGGCTAAGTATAAGATTAATTAATCCACGCTTAGTCAAAGACACCAAGGCTCTCAAGCACCGCGGGAGACCCAGGCAGCTTACCAGCTTAAGGTTAGCCTATAACAATAGCTAGAGCTTGTAAGATATATTAAAGGACTTATAAAGCGAGGCCTTCCTCCTATATAAGAGATAATTAGGAATTTCTTATTAGAAGTTGCTAAACAGCAGCTGAGTGAGAGCTAGGTTACTCGCTTTATTAACAATTACAACATCTATCTTATCTCTAAATAGACTACAGGCCTTAACCGCGTATACTACTTAGCTAACTCTAAGTCTAAGTATAGACTATACTTTAAGCTACTATATTAAAAGATTACTTAATACTAGCTTAAGGCTCGAGATATATATAATATAGATAAGAAGGGCTTCCTTATTAGTATAATTAATAGGGGCAAGAGAATCTTTAGTAAATATATATAGGATAAGAAGGAAGTTTAAGCAACTATATAGAATAGATCGCGCGAGTTTCTAATACTCCTAGCCTACTACTGCGCTAATAGAAGCTTGTTACCTCTAGACCTTATTTATATATCTGCTAAAGGAGCTATATAATTAAACTAGGTAGATAATATTAAAGCTAGAGAGTACTAGGTCTTTATCTTATTATTACTATTAGGCTGGTTAAATAATAATATAGGCCTAGCTTGGCTTAAGCAGGTATTTAATCGCTATATAAAGCAGCAATTAGGTAGATAGAGATTACTTATCCTTAATAGCTATAGATCTTATCTTATAATGGAATTTATTAAGTACTACGATCGCTATAGGATCCTTCTTATAGTCCTTCCTTCTTATTTAACTTATACGCTTTAGCCGCTCGATATAGTGTTATTTAAGCCACTTTTATAGAGCTACTCTAATAACCTTGTATAATACCTCTACAACGCTTAAGGCCTTAGCCTAATTAAAAAAGGAGACTTCTTTCTACTATTCTAGAGAGCCTAGGTATCCTCCTTTAAGGAAAGCCTTATAAAAAAGGTATTTAAAGCAACTAGAATATGGCCAATAGACCTAGACGTTATCCTTAAGAGATTCACTACTATGCTAGAACGTAAGAGTAGCTTATTATTAGGGCTCTCTAATAGTAATTAGAGAAAGATGGATCGATTAGTACGTGCTGCTGTAAAGGATACCCAGCAATCTAAGTCAAGAAAGGTTAGATCCTTACTCTACTATCTCTCTATTTAGAACAAGCTTTTAAAGTATAAGAATAAGGGTTTAAGAGAGGCTCTTAGCTATAAAAAGAAGTACAAGAAGAAGGGTAAAGCCCTTAACCTTTAACAGCGTTAAGAGTAGTATAGTGGAGCTGTCTTCTAGTTACCTTGCAAAGTAAGAGAGGCACGTGTATATAAGGCTGTTTAAGAGAGAGATAAAATAGAGGTAAAACGCTAGAAAGTACAAGCTAAGCAGGAGAAATACAACGCTTAACTCTAGTGTTAACTTGAGCTTAAGCAGAGGCGTGTTAAGCGTGAGAGACTTAGGAAGGAGAGGCAGGAGGAGAAGGCTGCCAAGGCTGCTAAACGAGCACGCTAGAAGGAAGACAGAGACGCTGCTAAAGCTATACAATTATCCTAAAAGGGTAAGCGTAAGGCTTTAAGAGCTCCTATAAGTAGCAGCAAGCGCTCTAAGCCTTCTAGTGTTGCTCTAGCTGCTGTTAAAGTTAAGACTGCTATATTAGCTGCTCTACCTAAGGTTATATTACAGGGCTAGAATATTAAGCTTCTAAGTAAATATAGGTAGTATAAAATAATTGCAAGGCCTTATTTACTATTCTACTATAAAACTGAGCTTGTATAGCTATTATATGTGGCTGTATAACCTTATCTTTGAGATCGCTGTTCTGGTGTTGGCGGGGCGTTGCGTGAATCCGGGCGTTGCGTGCACGGACACGATATACTTGCCTCGACGCGACCAGCACGCGCCTTCCGTCCGACCATCCGAGTCGATGCGACAACAACACCTTCATCGCAGCCACCTCCGCGTGGAAGTCTGTGAACGATTGCGGGGACGTCTTGATCCCAAGAGGATTTCCAGAGAACGACGGCAGAGCCACTGTTGAGCAGCCGCGAGGACAAGCCTCGACCCCGCAGACCATGTGTCAAGCACTTGCATCGGGCCGACACGCGTACGGGCGTGGCGACCTCGGGGCTCCGGTTGCGAATTCAATCGATCTACTTGAAGCGAGCGCTCCCCATCCGTTCGCAGTCAGCTCGATGCGAGCATTCATTCAGCGTCCGTCTCAATCATCGCAATGCCATCCAAGTCACGTGGATTGCGTACCTCGACGGGGTGGTATGTCCCCCATGCACGAGTTACTTCGTATGTGAGTGATGGCGACACTAATCCTCTTCAAGTCTTACTTGCAGGAAACGACGCGTAAAATGCGACGAGACCCGTCCACGCTGCCAGAATTGTATCAGGGTATCCAGACAGTGCACGTATGCACAACCAAATGCAGCCTCGCGCCGAACCCCGCGGCCACTGAGTACCCACGAACATGGCCATCATCGGACTAGCTCGACATCTTCATTGGAAACCGCATCTCTGGCTCTTTCCATGCAGGGCGATGAGGCAAACCAGGCAGACATGCCTCAGCCGTGGATGCCATTCTCCCTAGAGCATTCGGATAGCCTGTCAACAAGCGTACCCATGCATGATGATGCGCTGCTGTTCGACGACAACTTGTTGCTCAGTCTAGGCGAGCCAACATCGCCTAGTCTCGGCCCTTTCGAGTGGTTCGACCTCTTGGCTCAGGACGCCATCACTACGATAACTAACATTCAGGAAACCTCAAATCAGGCGCCTCGCTGGAACCTTGACAAGTTCAGCCTTTCCAGGAGACAGACACCTCGGCAAAGCCCCACTCCACAGTTAGAGCAGCACATGCAGTCCGACAATCCCAGCCCCAATGACATTCAAACACCAGCCTCGGAGCCCTGGAACACTGCTGCGCGGATTACGCTGAGTCCCGAGGACAAGGTATTCTTCGAACATTTCGTCACTGTAGTCGGACCAATCTTAGATTTGTTTGATCCGGAGAAACACTTTGCCAATATCGTGCCCCATCTCGCGCTCCATAATATTGGCCTAATGAAATCTCTGCTAGCAGTCGGTGCCTGTCACATGGCCCTCGAGCATCCAGCGGACCACGAGCTCGGATTTTCGGCCACATTACCACCTGATACGCCTACGTCTAGTAGCAGCATCCCCAATGGCCTTTTAGGTACGAGCAGAATGGCCGATCAGTACTACTATGAGACACTCCATTGGCTTGCTCAGAATATGCTATATCCTTCATATACCTCTTCGCACGAAATACTGGCCACTGCCATCATGATCAGCACCTACGAAATGCTGGGATCTTTCAAACACTCGGTAAACGACAACTGGGGTCGCCATCTCAGAGGCGCCTTTTGGATCCAGCGCAATCAAGATAATGACGGCGAGACAAACGATGGCTTGAGAAGGGCTGTTTGGTGGGCTTGGGTCAGGCAGGACATCTGGGCAGCTTTGCGAGAAAATCGCCCCGCAATGACCATATGGCAACCGAAGAAGGCGCTTTCCCAGCTCACTGCAGATGAGCTATCGACGAGGATCGTGTATATTGCTGCCAAATGCATCCAGTTTGCTGCTACAGCAAAGGAGAACGACATCTCTGGATACATAGATGCCGGCGAGCGACTGATGCTCATGCTTGAGCAGTGGAAGCAGATTCTTCCGTCATCTTTCGAGCCAATTCCTCTTGCTGCCTCTCAAAGTGCCTCCACACCAGCCTCATCCAATTCCGATGTGGCGACCCAGTTCCAGCCAATTTGGATCCACCCGCCCTCCCATGCTGCCGCGATTCAGATGTATCATTTCTCGCGCATCATCGTTCTGCTCAACCAACCCTCCACTGGCGGCCTCAGCAAGTACCAACTCCGCGGCAAAATGCTGCGAGAGAGTATGTCCACCATCTGCGGGATCGCTATTGCTCCGCAGTCACAAAATCTGCCCAGTGCTTTTGTCGACTTCCAAGCTGTCTATGCTGGTATGTTCCGTGAGAATGTTCCATCTGTGCAAAATCTTCGTCGCTAACGGTAATGCAGCTGCGTTGTGCGCGGAAACTCAGGATAAGCAGGCAGAGATGTTGTTGATCCTAGAGAAGAGTCTCAATGTTAGCAGGTTTCCAGCGAAGTCAATCCTGGACGACGTTGTCAAGATCTGGGATGGCCACCATTGAGACTTGATCATGAGACCTGGTGGCTATCGTGCAAGATTGCTGTCCACTGGCTGCCGGAATGTAGCATTCAAGATGTCGCACGCCTCACGTACGTGTCTCTGAGGCTGGTCTCATCCATCGACGGGTTTCTGTGACTCGCTCTTTCGATTTCTGGATACATTTCCGTGCGTGCGGTACGCTGGGTGCAGCTTT